ATATATATATATATATATATATATATATATATATATATATATATATATATATATATATGTACATTAAATGATAAATATGTATGTATGTGGCCTCTTTAGTGACTTTTTGGTCTTTGAACGAAGTTACTTTTGTTTCCCATAATTAGCGTCTCCTGTAAAAAGTTTCTTGTTTCCATAATAATGAAACTGTCAACGTTAATTCTTGTTAATGGTTCGTATTATTGAAACCTAATGTAATTAATCATAGCAGATATGGTCAATTTCTTGAAACTAAGAATTTGAATATTGAAATAGGAGAGGGTTTGAAGAAACAAACATGCCCTTCTTGACAATACTTTGCTTTTCCCTAAACCCAGCTCCTTTTTCCGAGGCTGAAATAAAAAAATAATTAATAATGAACTTCATCAAATTATTTTAAAACTAATAAATTGTTTTAAAACTTTGAATTATAAACCCTAAGAAAATAATAGGAATCTTGAAATACTTTGAACATATTGAAAGGAAAAAAGGGCCTTGAAAGGCGAAGCCTTTATGGAGTGTTGGGCAAAGAATATTCTGCGTTTGCAAGAGTTCAACAGCTACAGGACAAAGATTTTAATTCATGAAAAGCAGGCCATCATTAGATTATGATTAAGCTTTTAATTACATTAAAAATAATAAATTAATCTATTAAATCAATCAATTAAGTCAGCCCTTCCTGCAAAGGATATCTCTTTCTTCCAAAAATTCACTGTCCTTTGTCAGCTTATTGTCTCTTAACTTTTCATCCGAAATTTTGTAGAGTTGCTATCTTCGCATTCTATTTTTTTTCTTTTCAATTATTACCATGTAATTTTAAGAAAAATATTTGAGTTTATATCATTTAACTATGATACCACTTTATAATTTATATTTATATGTTTTGTCGATTTTTAATATTGACAAGCATGCCCTCTATTGGTAGGCTTGGAAATGTTAGTTAATTAGGTTTTTAAAAACAAAAACTCTATATATAATTAAATCCCGAATACTTTGTGATCGAATTACCTTAGAGAAATTGTGCATATATTTTGAATTGATACATATTAATATTGATTATGTAGGATGGTACATGCATATAGAGATGGACCGAAGATATCAAGGAAACATCTGTATATTCCACTAAAAGGGAAACTGAATAGAAAAGCTAACATATATAGAAGAATCTAATCTAAAAGCATAAAACTTTTATACGAGGGGAAAACAACTTTTATATTACTTTTCTACGTACCAAATATTAACTCGATAATTACTTACATTGTAAAGTTTTACATCCTCTAATATTGCAGTGTATTTATAATGACAATATCTCTAAATTATTAACATCGTTATTATCGTTATAAAATATTAAAACAAATTTTATATATGCCTAATATCGTTATTAATTAACGTTGTAGATGTAGACAGATACAAACGACACACAAAAGTTAAAACAGAAAACAAGGATAAGTTAAGTGGGTAGCAAATCTAATAGAAAACATAGGTGTAATAATGTCAAAACCATATTATTAAGTTATGTGTTTCCGGACGATTGTTCCCTTTTCCACGTAAATTGTTTTCGTCGTGTTTCATTTGGAGGTTTTAGCAATCTTTCGTTCTTATATATATATATATATTCAGCTAGCTCGAGATCGGACATATCTGCATGGCATGTTTCACCAACACGACAAACCGAGAGAGATAGAGACCGCACGTGGGAAAGTTACCAGCTCTCTCTGATCTTATTTGGAGTATACATATATATATATATATATATATATATGTGTGTGTGTGTGTGTGTGTACACACATATATATAATATAGCTAATGTCACATTGGTCCTTTGAAATCTTGATGATATATAAATAAAAGAAACTACTGTATATATAGGTTGAAAATGTTTCATGATGATATTCTTGCAGTCAAAGGAAAAGGCAGAGATATTACTGGGGAAGGTGGAAGAGGGAGGAGTATGGCTTACTTGGACCTCAAATCTCTCATATAAAAAGTTTCAAACACTTGGGTAGACGGTCTATTAGGATCATTTATGTGATAACACTTCATGGTATCCAAAAATGTGCATTTTTAATCTGAACATGAAACCCTAAACCCAAAAAAAAAAAATATCCAGAAAAAACCGCCAATCTATACTCCCAAGAATATCTAACACAAGTAATACTCTGAGGTTAACATTTTTAAAAAGAAGAGGGGAAGATTTCTTTTTGTAAAAGATAAATCTATACATATATATGTATATCCATTAATGGACCTTAATTCTATATACCTAACACGAAGATGCATCAAGCTCTTTTTCCCTCGCTTTCTCATCCTCCAACCTTTCTCACCGCCTCCAATAAAAAAAAAAGGCAGTATAATAAAATATATTTAAGATCTGAAGTTATTTTATTCTGCAATAAAGCAGGCGACGATCAAAATGGCTGCAACATTATTCTTAAAATATTCTACAGAGAGAGAGAGAGAGAGTATATGCTTTTTTTTTGGATGAAAATATACGAGTGTTAGGGTTGATATATATATTTAAGAACCTTTTATATATAATATATATATGCATATGCTTCACTGGTTAGGTCTTTGTTTCTTTCTCTTAATTTCATTTCGGCCCTCTTGTTTACACATCGCTTTCCTTCTGGAATAGAACAAGAGCAAAGACAAGAAGACGTTTGTGAACGGATCTTGCTGGAGGGCTTGAAAGATGGTTGCTGAAGATGCAATCTCCAGTGGGTTTGTCGCCAACCCTAATCCCCATCAATCTCTACCACTCGCCAAGAAGAAGAGAAATCTCCCTGGAAACCCTGGTATATATTCCTTATCATGATGATCTATACATATATATTTCAAGCTTCCATCGGGATCGATCTTTTCTATATATATATATATATAACATAAGCTCTTAGTTTGTTGTTAACTTATATGATGATCACTATTTACACACGCATGTTTATGTATCCCCATAATTAAAAAAAAAATGAATCTTGGATCCGTTTAACTAGAATAGGCTTACATCGATCCTTTGATTCATATCAAGATATACATAGATATTTACACTGATATCGTTTGTAATATTTAGCTGTATAATATACTAAGCTATACGTTTCATATATAGAAGTGGTATATATGTATGAAGGGTATTAATATGTAAATCGTGGACCTATAGTCAACGGATGTTATCCTGGAGATCTGATGATAATCGACCTATTAATTGCATGGTGGCTCAAGCAAATCTTGAAACCTATAAGTTTTACACATCTTCCGTCTTTTTTTATTTCTTCCATTTAAATTCATTTAGCAGAAAAAAAAACAAGATTCTAATCCAAATTTTAAAAAAAAAATTCAGATCCGGAAGCAGAAGTGATAGCACTGTCGCCAAACACACTGATGGCGACGAACAGATTCGTGTGTGAGATATGCGGAAAAGGGTTTCAAAGAGACCAGAACCTGCAGCTTCACAGGAGAGGACACAATCTGCCATGGAAGCTGAAACAGAGAGCCAACAAAGATGCGGCTGTCAGAAAGCGAGTTTACGTCTGTCCGGAGAAGGCATGCGTCCACCACCATCCCTCCCGGGCTCTCGGCGATCTCACCGGCATCAAGAAACACTTCTGCCGCAAACACGGCGACAAAAAATACAAATGCGAGAAATGTTCCAAGAGATACGCTGTCCCCTCCGACTGGAAAGCTCATATGAAGACTTGCGGTACCAGAGAATACAGATGTGACTGTGGAAGCGTCTTCTCTAGGTACATATACATATGTTTCTTTTTTAACGTTACAATAAATTAACAAACTTTAGAATGATTCCATTTTAACAAACTTTAGAATGATTCCATATGGTGTGTTATGTCTGAATCATGCAGGAGAGACAGCTTCATAACTCACAGGGCGTTCTGTGATGCTTTGGCTGAAGAAACAGCGAGAATAAACGCGGTCTCTCAGTTCACTGGCGGCAACTATCACCATCTCATGGGGACACCATTAATGTTTGGACCAAACACTACTTCTCACAACTTCTCCTCTCTTCCCAAACCCATCGACTACTCCCTGACAGATGAAACCCGACCAGCATCCCTCTCCTTGTGGACAGCTCAAGGACAACAAACTCAAAATGGTATCCCAATGGCCAACAGCCACGCTAATCCGCAAGCTCAGTTTCATCAGATCGGGTTGATGAACTCGAGATCATCTCTCATAAACAACGACCACAACCTTATCTCTTGTTCTAGCAACCCTCAGTCTTTTGATAACAATTATAATAATCTCCACAATCTGAACTGGGTTTTCGGAAGCAAGCTCTCTTCCTCCAGCAACGAGGAGTTCATCTTCGGTGGAAACGTAAATAACAAGGATGCCACGACCGTGGGTGTGCCTTCCTTGTACAGCAAGCAACATCAAATCACGACTGGTCAAGCCGAGCCAGCTGCTGGTAACTCAGCCACAGCTCTCTTGCAGAAAGCTGCCCAGATCGGAGCGACCACGACAGACCCATCGTTCCTCGCGAGCTTTGGTTTAAGGACAGGCAACGGTCCATGTACGGTACTGCCGGTTCAAGACGGTAACAAATACTACGGTGATATGTTCGGTTCGAACTCGATGGTTACTTCTCTTGGAAGCGACCATGACACAGAGAACTCGACCAACGAGATCTCGACATTGAACCAGCTTCCGACACAGCCGCCGGCGAAGCGCCGCCGCGTGGAAGAAGGTGAAGGCGGAGGAGGAGGAGAAGGGCAGACGAGGGATTTTCTTGGGGTTGGAGTAGAACCAATGAGCCATCCATGGATTTGATCTATGAAACACAGTCGTTCTCGTGTTTTGTTGATTCTTTGTGGTTTTCTTGGAAGATAGAGAGAGAGAGAGTCGAGGTTTGGTGCAAAGGAAAAGCGATACTGAAAAAGAAAAGAAGGGAAAAAGTTGGCAATTGAGTGCTTGGAAAAGGCTATATGTATGAGAGAAACCATACACGGATTTGAAAAAGAGGGGAAACACCCATTTGTATTATGGAGCTTTATAAGTGTTTATTTGTGATATCTTTTGGATTGTGTTCTCTATAAAACAAAACAAGAAATTTGAGGATGAATTTGACAACTGTGATGGAGCAGCACTAGTGGGTTCCTCACTATACATGGTATTTTTAAAATCTAGATTAAACCTTTTTCTTTTTGTAAGATCTTTTGTCTCGATAATAAAATTAAAATCCTAATTATCTAACCAAAGAATGAATCGACGAGAGAGAGAGAGAGAGAGAGAGAGACGTCGATGTTGCAAGAAAAACAAAATTGACGCAGTTTGCTAGAAAGCCTGGGTAAAAATGATTGCCCACGCGCGGTGAGTGAGGATCTGCAAAAAATGGTCATTTCCGGTGGAGCGTGTCACCGACGCGCGACAAGTGCGCGTGTGTTTCAAAAGAATTCGTGTATGAAATCCAAATTAGCCTAATCTAGTAAGATAAGGCCCATGAAAGACCCAATATATCGTTTGGAGTGGACGCAGTTTGATTAGACCCAATAAGCCCAATAGGCCCATCTTTCTTTTGTTTAAGTGAAGAGAAGTCCTGATGACATCCACACCCTCAGTTTTCTCTTCAACATAATTTTTTTTTTTATTTTCTCATCGTTTCATTCTTGTTTTGAGAAATAATAGTACATAAAAATAATCGTTTAAAATTATGATATTTTTTTACAGTACTTAATATTAAACTATAGTTATTGCATCAATGATATACGTGGCATTTTTTTGTATTTACCCTCTTGAAGGATTTTTTTTATTTAAAATTTTGGGATAATCCCATATTCCCCCACAAATTTTCGAAAAAGTTCTAATTTCCTACACCAATTTTTAATTTGACAAAAAACTACACCGGATTTCAAATATTACCAAATTCCTACACAAAATCTTAAAATGTGTTGCAATTTCCTCCATATCCGTAAACGACGTTATGTTCCGTCAATTTTAATGCTGACATGGCATGCCACGTCATACAAATTTCGCCAAATCAGCACATTTCGCCACATCATCCAGCCACATCAGAAAATAAATAAAAAAATAAAATAAAAATAAAAAATTTCTAGAATTTTTTTAAAAACTAATAAAATAAAATAAAAAATACAGAATTTCAAATTTTATTTTTTAAAAATAAAATAAAAAATTACATATACATATATATACACTTTTATATCTATACACAATTATATACATATACATATATACAAATATACATCTACATACATAATTATATACATATATATATATATATACACACTTGTACATTTACATATATACACATTTTTACATATATACACAATTTTTTAAAAAAAATTTTAAAAAATTACAGAATTTTAAAATTTATTTTTTAAAAATAAAATAAAAAATTACATATACATATATACACAAATAATATATATACATATATACATACATATTCACATATATATATACATATTCA